TCCCGAGTAGCTGGGATTACAGGTGCTTGCCAGCACCCCGGCCAAATTTTTGTATGTTTAGTAGAGACAGGGTTTTACCATGTTGGCCAGGCTGGTCTTAAACTCCTGACCTCAGGCGATCCACCTGCCTCAGCCTCCCAAAGTGTTGGGATTATAGGTGTGAGCCACCACACCTGGCCTGAATGGTTTATCTCTTAATTAAAGCCCATATTGACTTAAAGTGTACAAACAGAAATGCAAATTGTCTAAAATTATAGTTTGTAAGTAAAACAAAAAAATCACAATGAACTGATGTTAAGAAACTTACACTGAAAAAAACACACTAACAAACTGCAAAACAATAAGTGAAATGTTTACTCAAATAATCTGGTATGTAACATTGATGTACCATTAAAAAATTGTCTAGATAACTGTAATATTTGACTGTAACTGTGTACTCATAGAAAACATGTATTTTGAATCATTGGCAGGCACTGTGTGGCAGTAAAATTTTAGAGAAAAATGCAGTATAATCATAAAAAGAAGATTCCAATGAGAAACATTTAATAAGCCGTATGCTATTCTTCCACAAAATGAAATTGCTGTAATCCAACTTTAGAAGCAAGGAATATCCTTACTTTGCTAAATTTTATATATATGTAATTTAATATATAAATTTAATTTATATATAAATTTAATAATTTTATATAAATATAATTTAATATATATAGCAGAATATGGGTAGAGTCTCTGTTATATAAAACAAATATTTGGAAATAAATTAGGTTATTATTTACATATAGGCTAGAGGAAGTAAGTAAAAAGTATATCATTCGTTTTTGCATGCAGCAAACTTAAATTTGCAAGTAACTATATTAGTAAATATGGAGTGCCTACTAATTATCTAATTTACTTCAAACATAACATATAAATTCTAGCTTATTGTTCCTAAATGTCTGAATCTAAAATTAAAGGCAAATTTGAAATAGAAAACAGAAACTAAAAACTTAAAGGGTGACATTAGTAAGATGGAGAAATAAAAGGTACCCTATTTGCCTATTCCCTCACAGTGAGAAAAACTGCTGGCCATCCCTAAGAAACACACCTTGATGAGAGGACCAGGCCTCATGGCTTGAACCTGTAATGACAGCTATATTGTAGATCAACGTGGAGAATTGCTTCAGGCCAGGATTTCAAGACCAGCCTGGGTTGTGTAGCAAGGCCCAATCTGAAAAATAAGTGCCTTTAAGAGATCTTTGATCCAAGGATGAAGTGAAATTCCACTAAAGCCAAATACTGAGGAGTGTTCTTTTCAGAAGGTAGGCTCTCATTCCAGTGGCAAACTACAGGGCCCCTGGTCTTGGCTACGGGACAGGAAATGGCCAACCCAACTTGGTCCCACCGAGAATTCTGAATTTACTCTAATTATTTCAAAATTCTTTCAGCCACAGTCTGGGAGAGGTCCTGTCCTTTCATAGGCCTGGAGGAAGACACCTGTTTATAACCATGCAGGCAGGCCTGCAGACCCTGGCTTTTACTGAGGTGACTGAAGCAGTTCAAAGTCTCAGTTCCAGCTCCCTGAGCCACAGTTTACAGTCAGTTCCCTTTACCTAGAAACTAACACACCTGAGGAAATCCTCTGTGGTACTCAGCAAAAGCCATATTCATTCATACCCCAATTTAAGGTGCATTATATAGAGACCCAACTGCAAAAACTTGCCCTAGTGTCTGCCCTGCAGAGCAAAGTCTTGAAGGGTATCTAGTCTGTCCAAAAATAATATGGGAATTACAACTATGCAAGCCCCTTATAACAAGCCAACTAAAGGGGACCCTAGTGCAGAATCAGCAAACTTGTGCCCAAGCTACAACTCCTCTCCATAGGAAACCCAGAGGGTAGCCTATCAGAAACCCAGAGGGTATCCCATCACCCTGGGGGCCCAATGGAAGAAGATCTTTCCCTCCTGAAACCAGTTTATAAAAACTTGAAAAGGTGTTTGCTCCTTCAAATTCACAGACACCAAATGCAAAATTATATTGTGCCCATTGTCAATGCTTCTATTTTAATATGGCAGAAGAATTAGTCAAAACGATTTTCAAAAAGCCGTTGAAACTGAAGACAAATAAGTAAAAATTTGCTGTCTGTAGATTACATGATCTTATATATAGAAAACCATAAGCAGTGCATTAAAACCTGTCTAAATTGGCTGGGCACAATGGCTCATGCCTGTAATCCCAGCACCACTTTGGGAGGCCGAGGTGGGTGGATCACAAGGTCAGGAATTCGAGACCAGCCTGATCAACATGGTGAATCCCTGTCTGTATTAAAAACACAAAAAATTAGCTGGACATGGTGGCGGGCACCTGTAATCCCAGCTCCTCAGGAGGCTGAGCCAGGAGAATCACTTGAACCAGGGAGGTGGAGGTTGCAGTGAGCCAAGATTGCGCCACTGCACTCCAGCCTGGGTAACAGAGCAAGACTTCGTCTTAAAAACAAACAAACAAAAAAATCTGTCTATATTAATAAATACACTCAGTAAATTAACAAAATGTAAAGTTAACATACACGTTATGGTTCCATATACTTAAACTATCTGATAAAATAGACCAAAAAAAAAATCTTATTCACAATAGCATTAAAATAATATATTTCTGAGAACAAATTTGACCAAGGAGATAAAAACATCTTTATACTGGAAGATATAAGATAGCTAGGAAAAGAAATAGAAAAGATACAAATAAATTTAAAAATGTTTTATGTTGGGCCGGGCGCGGTGGCTCAAGCCTGTAATCCCAGCACTGTGGGAGGCCGAGGCGGGTGGATCACGAGGTCAAGAGATCGAGACCATCCTGGTCAACATGGTGAAACCCCG